GTATCGATAAAGTTGTATTCGGAAATAATAAACCAGTTTTATTAAGTAAAGATTTGTGTCGTTAAAGTTTCGTTGGAACGAAGTTACGGAAAAATCAATTAACAAACGGAGACGTAACATTACTTTAAAATAGAGTTTTGATAGGGTACCTGGTGTGTCTAGCAGTGATGAAAATATTCCACTCGTTACTCGACACTCATCTGTCAGTGTAGCTACATGGTAGACAGAACTAAAAATTATTTACTATTTGTATAATATTTTATCCTCTTTTAAAGTAACTAACGCTTCGCAGATACCTTTCTGCAGAGAACAGATGAAACCTACAATGTTTAAATTCTGTTTTAATCTCTATATGTTTATAGAGAATTAGTTTTTATGTATTTCTAAAAATTCATAATACATGTACAACAATATATTTATTTAGTAGCGTTTAAAGCATTGTTTCTGTGACATATCAAATCTACAAGACTGACGACACTTAGTAAATGCTTGTCCACTTGCCAACAATTTCCGTTTAGGCTATTCTCATGCAGTTCTCTAGAACGATCTTCATAGCAATAGCTTTGTATTTCACGGTGTTCTCCAAATAATGTATTTACGTTAAGACTTGCAATAAATTAGTTTAAGTTATTCACCAACTACTTCAGCAGCAATCATTATTTAAATTAATAATTTTACGCCAAAAGAAATTCGTTATTCATTTTGACAAATTCAATTGACCAAAATGTTTTACAGAGATAAAGCTCATTTTCTGTTTTCAACTCATCAAAACAAAAAAGTCCGATTATTTTGTGTTTTCAGTGACATAATGGTGATTTCTAGTGTAATAAATGTACTGTTTTCTGTATTCTTAGGAAGGCAAGTTACTTTTGGCAATAGTAGACAAATACGCTATTGGATGGACAAACTTGATGATAGGATTACTGGAATGCTGGGGCTTGATGTTGTTGTATGGTGAGCTTGATTCACACAAAATATCATTATTGTGTCACAACACTTTTAATTAAACAGAAACTATCAATATTTTATTGTGTATAACAATCAACCAAAGTTCGTTTTATTCTTTATGCTGCACTTGATTGTAAAAGTTGCAAGTCATTTTTGTCTGAACGGAAATTGTTACCTAAGAAATATATGTTTTATAATAAATATTAAAAACAACGTAATACCAAAAACATCTTTCATTTGGACGTTTCGGAATTCCCATTATCAGCGTTAAAATCTCAAAACAAAAGTTCACATTATTCGAACTACAAAAACATTGAGCGAGTTTTCGTATTCAATCGGAATTTTAGAAAGAACAGATTTAAACGGTAACAATATAACGGAATGTACGATAAAACGTGCGGCATACATATGTTTAATAAATAACATTGTTAAGAGAAACTATTATAGAGAAATACAGTACTTATATTTAAGCCTATTTAAAATAATAATAAATATCAAATAAAATCACTGAAAATCCAGAATTTATTAAATTAATGACAACAGGGAGAAGTTAATGTTATTATTTAGTGTTGGGTGTTTACTGAAAATGGAGAGGCTTTCTTTAATAAAGAGTTTGTAATATGTGATTCCGGAGTCGAGAATTTGAAAGTTTTCTAGGAGTTTAGGGTGGTTGTTATTCTCACTGTGAAATCGGATACAAGAATCTGGTAGACAAGTTATTTTACACCCGCTTCTTGATGAAATTCCCATGTGCTCGTGTTTGCAGGTGACGTGTAGTTTTACCAATATAGGTAGCTTTACAACTACCACAAGTGTTTTTATTTACGACCCACAAGCGCATAGGAATGGATAGTGTCTTTGGTTTGAACTTATTTTTAATTCTAAATGTTGACGTATATACTAAACGTAACTTAATACTTCTAGAAAACTAAACTTTTCGACTCCGGAACCACATATTACAAACTCTTTATTAAGGAAAGCCTCTCCATTTTCAGTAAACATCCAACACTAAATAATAACATTAACTTCTCCCTGTTGTCATTAATTTAATAAATTCTGGATTCTCAGTGATTTTATTTGATAATTATTATTATTTAAAAGATACAGTACTTATATTTAAGCGTTTCTCTATAATAGTTTCTCTTAACAATGCTATTTATTAAAAATATTGTTGCGTCATCGACATCATGTGATTCTCACGCCCTCTACTTTCTAGAACTATCCTGTACTTTGGCGAATGCTCTAGTATTTACTAGATACAGGGT